AAATGGGTCAAAAGAAGGACTTGACAGGCTCAGAAAAGTCAAAAATAGTGAGATATCTTGCAGAGGGATGCAGCACTCTTAAAATTGCAAAGCTTCTGAAGCCTGATCATCGAACAATCAAGCGTTTCATTCAAAATAGTCATAGCTACCCTTGATAAAGGCTACCTGGAGGAGCCGAAACGTTGGGGGACTGTTTGTGACTCGTGTTTCTGCCCATATAGGCTTGTGAAATTTGGTAAATATATGGTTTAGCCTTTTTTTGCCTATTTGGTCACTGTTATATTGTTGCATTTTTTGCATGTATGATTCGGATTTGTATTGCAATAAATATATATAGATAGATACTATTGTATCAGTTGGTGTGCATTCCTTTCTTTTTGAGTATTTAGTTTATTGGTATTGGAGGGAGTACCTTGTTGGAATAGCACCCTTAATTGTGGTGGTAATTATACTAAAAGTGTCTCTCCACATGTTACATTTTATATGATCATTCAAAATAGTCAACAGGGTCGCAAGAAGCGTGTGGAAAAACCAAGGCGCAAAATAACTGTCCATGAACTGAGAAAAGTCAAGCGTGCAGCTGCCACGATGCCACTTGCCACCAGTTTGGCCATATTTCAGAGCTGCAACATCACTGGAGTGCCCAAAAGCACAAGGTGTGCAATACTCAGAGACATGGCCAAGGTAAGAAAGGCTGAAAGACGACCACCACTGAACAAGACACACAAGCTGAAACGTCAAGACTGGGCCAAGAAATATCTGAAGACTGATTTTTCTAAGGTTTTATGGACTGATGAAATGAGAGTGAGTCTTGATGGGCCAGATGGATGGGCCCGTGGCTGGATTGGTAAAGGGCAGAGAGCTCCAGTCCGACTCAGACGCCAGCAAGGTGGAGGTGGAGTACTGGTTTGGGCTGGTATCATCAAAGATGAGCTTGTGGGGCCTTTTCGGGTTGAGGATGGAGTCAAGCTCAACTCCCAGTCCTACTGCCAGTTCCTGGAAGACACCTTCTTCAAGCAGTGGTACAGGAAGAAGTCTGCATCCTTCAAGAAAAACATGATTTTCATGCAGGACAATGCTCCATCACACGCGTCCAAGTACTCCACAGCGTGGCTGGCAAGAAAGGGTATAAAAGAAGAAAATCTAATGACATGGCCTCCTTGTTCACCTGATCTGAACCCCATTGAGAACCTGTGGTCCATCATCAAATGTGAGATTTACAAGGAGGGAAAACAGTACACCTCTCTGAACAGTGTCTGGGAGGCTGTGGTTGCTGCTGCACGCAATGTTGATGGTGAACAGATCAAAACACTGACAGAATCCATGGATGGCAGGCTTTTGAGTGTCCTTGCAAAGAAAGGTGGCTATATTGGTCACTGATTTGTTTTTGTTTTGTTTTTGAATGTCAGAAATGTATATTTGTGAATGTTGAGATGTTATATTGGTTTCACTGGTAATAATAAATAATTGAAATGGGTATATATTTGTTTTTTGTTAAGTTGCCTAATAATTATGCACAGTAATAGTCACCTGCACACACAGATATCCCCCTAACATAGCTAAAACTAAAAACAAACTAAAAACTACTTCCAAAAATATTCAGCTTTGATATTAATGAGTTTTTTGGGTTCATTGAGAACATGGTTGTTGTTCAATAATAAAATTAATCCTCAAAAATACAACTTGCCTAATAATTCTGCACTCCCTGTATGTCACAGTAATTGTTTGTATAGTAATAGTGGTATTGTATGGACTGAACCATAATATATTTAAATTGTTTGCATGCTCAACATAATCATCCAGTGTAAGGCACTAAGGGAGAGTTAAATCCATGTGGCATTCACAGCAGAGAAGAAAATGTTTTATTTCAACCAAGAACGAAAGTGCCTAGGGAGGGGGACCCCTGAAGGGGTTAATGCAGCTGCAGGGAGCGGTGATCGGGTGATTCCCGAACCGCCGCGTGAGCAGGGAAGGCGGGCGTCGTGGGTCTCGCGAGCCGCGAGATCCAAGATGGCCGCCAGTCGCGTGTAGCAGGCTTACTCGCTCGCTGCCTCGAGTAAGCAGAAAAACAAGAAGAATGCAAAACCGCCCCGGCCACCCTCCACCCGTCCCCACACAGTCCCCTGAGTGTCAGCAGGGCAGGTCCACGTAGCGAGCGCGGCACGGACAGCCGTGACGCCCGCGGACCGCCCGACCAAAATTAGATAAAGTGGTAGTAACACACTGAATATGGGGAGAAAGGGGGACAGGGAAGGGAGCAAGGAGCAGTAGATGGATAGATATTTAGTTACAAAGTGAAGGTAGAGTAAAAATATATAAATACATCAGAGAGGTAATAATACTCTGACCTGTTGTAGGCTGGAGCAGCAAAGAAAGAGGAAGTGATGTCATAGACAGGGCCTCTTATGGGCACCATATCTTTTCTCTGATTGGTTGTTACTGTTTCTATGCTGCTGGAGTTTTCAGTAAAGAAAGATATGCAAATATGAAGCCTCCTGTCATGTGGTAAAATTGAGTGATGTACTGTATTAACTCAATTATCTCCAGACACAAAAACAGACATTTTTATAAAAACCCCCAAATACTCTTAAAACATACAAACCCCCCCGCTAAGTGCCGCTGGGCACTGACTGGGAACCGCAAAGTCTTCCTGCCGAAAACTGTTCCATAGAATCGCGGCTAAGTGCCGCTGGGGGATCGACTGGGAACCGTGAAGTTTTCATGCCGAAAATAGTTCCAGGGCATTCGCGGCTAAGTCCCCCTAAAGTCTATTCGCGGTTTTGGTCCATCTGAACGGCCGCAAGTGAGCTAGCATTCGGTTCTATGGAAAGTGCCGAACCAGGTGAATAAGGGGGAATAAAGTATGGGTCTTTACAGTCGCTGACCTGGCCCATAGTCTTTTGGCAGGTGGCTGGCAAGCAGGCCCCTCCAAAAGCCCGTGGCGAGGTTCTGTTCGCCACAGGGTACTTCTGTTTCTGCATTGACACGGGCAAATGCCATGCACAGTTTGTGAAAAAAGGAATTCCAAACAATATGCAGTCTAGCTCATCCCCATCTCACAAAAAAAAAGTTCAGCAATTCCCATGCTAGAAGTCGTTGGTCATTTATGTTTTAATGCAAATGAGATGCTAGATCCGACTGCATTACACATTTACGACTTGCCAGTTCCAGGTTTCCTATTAGAAATTAGTCACCATGGGTATGTATGACACACATGCATGTTTTCTTACTAATTATTCTGTGTTAAGCGATAGGATATCATGTTTGTGGTGTGGAGACATTTTCATGATTTTAGTGAGAAGTAGAGGATACGGCTTAGATCCTTTGGAAAATGTGCCATGAGGTACCATGAGAAGTATCTTTTTTTTTCTCTTCGAGTAAATACATTTCCTGTAAATCATTATCTACATAATGCATAAAAGCAGCAGTAAATCCAGGCTGGATTATTCACTGAAATATTCTCCAATCTCTTAATTCTGTATCTGTAACTTCTATAAATTAAAGGCTATCATTCTTTGGGTTTTTATAACTACATTTGTACTCCCCTAGAACTATTTCTTGGATTTGAATTCAGGGCAATTGTAATAGGACACTCCAGACCTATCAAGTAGGTTTTCTAAAAAATGGAATATGCAAAATCCCTTTCTAGGTTAACGGGACTGCCCTCACCCCAAATCACTGTTTAGTAGATTTACTTACAACGAAATAATGAGTGCATTTAGTTATGCATTCGTTCAATGGGAGTATATCTAAAAACAGCTTGCAAAAGCTCTTGTCTGAAGTCTTTGCAAGACTTCCTCTTCTAACCTACTCCAGAATGTCTGGGGCTGTCCAGTTACAGACGTCCTAATGCAGTCTTTGGAAGTCCAGTGCTATGAGCAATGGCCTGCCTCTTGAGCTTAGCTCCACTGAGCTAACCAACAAGGAAGTAAAAGTACTTATTTTACTAATTGATAGCCAGAGAGGTGTGAAAAAGTAAATTTATGAAAGAGCCAATTTCTATTGAAATCTGCACTTAAAAAAAAAAAAAATGAAAGACACATTTAAAAAATATAGCACTTCAGCTAGCTTAAGTTTTTTCTGTTAGGGGTTTGGAGTGTCCCATTAACACTTCCATCCGAGAAGGAATTTTTCAGATGGACAGGTCATTATGTCTCCTCTCTCAAAATAAATCAAAGACTGCCCACACATACAGGTGATACTCGAAAAATTAGAATATTGTGCAAAAGTTCATTTATTTCAGTAATGCAACGTAAAAGGGGAAACTAATATATGAGATAGACGCATTACATGCAAAGCAAGAGCAAGCAAAGCAAGCCGTGACTTGTCATAAGTGCGATGATTATGGCTTACAGCTCACGAAAATCCCAAATCCACAATCTCAGTAAATTGGAATATTGTGAAAAGGTGCAATATTCTAGGCTCACAGTGTCCCACTCTAATCAGCTAAGTAAGCCATAACACCTGCAAAAGGTTTCTGAGCCTTTAAGTGGTCTCTCAGTCTGGTTCATTAGAAATAACAATCATGGGGAAGACTGCTGACCTGACAGTTGTGCAGAAAACCATCATTGACACCCTCCATGAGGAGAGAAAGCCTCAAAAGGTAATTGCGAAGGAAGTTGGATGTTCCCAAAGTGCTGTATCAAAGCACATTAATATAAAGTTATGTGGAAGGCAAAAGTGTGGAAGAAAAAGGTGCACAAGCAGCAGGGATGACCGCAGCCTGGAGAGGATTGTCAGGAAAAGGCCATTCAAAAGTGTTGGGGACTTCCACAAGGAGTGGACTGAGGCTAGAGTCAGTGCATCAAGAGCCACTACACACAGACGGATCCTGGACATGGGCTTCAGATGTCATATTCCTCTTGTCAAGCCGCTCCTGAACAACAAACAACGACAGAAGCATCTTACCTAGGCTAAAGAACAAAGACCTGGTCTGTTGCTCAGTGGTCCAAAGTCCTCTTTTCTGATGAGAGCAACTTTTGCATCTCTTTTGGAAACCAAGGACCCAGAGTCTGGAGGAAAAATGGAGAGGCACACACTGCAAGATGCTTGAAGTCCACTGTGAAGTTTCCACAGTCTGTGTTCATTTGGGGAGCCATGTCATCTGGTGGTGTTGGTCCACTGTGCTTCAATAAGTCCAGGGTCAACGCAGCCATCTACCAGGAACTTTTGGAGCACTTCATGCTTCCTTCCGCAGACGAGCTTTATGGGGATGCTGACTTCATTTTCCAGCAGGACATGGCACCTGCCCACACTGCCAAAAGCACCAAAACCTGGTTCAATGACCATGGGATTACTGTGCTTGATTGGCCAGCAAACTCGCCTGACCTGAACCCCATAGAGAATCTATGGGGCATTGCCAAGAGAAAGATGAGAGACATGAGACCGAACAATGCAGAAGAGCTGAAGGCCGCTATTGAAGCATCCTGGTCTTCCATAACACCTCAGCAGTGCCACAGGCTGATAGCTTCCATGCCACGCCACATTGATGCAGTAATTTCTGCAAAAGGGACCCAAACCAAGTACTGAGTCCATATGCATGCTTATACTTTTCAGAGGTCCGATATTGTTCTATGTACACTCCTTGTTTTATTGATTGCATGTAATGTTCTAATTTACTGAGATTGTGGATTTGGGGTTTTCATGAGCTGTAAGCCATAATCAATGCACTTATGACAAATCACGGCTTGAACTATCTTGCTTTGCATGTAATGCGTCAATCTCATATATTAGTTTCCCCTTTTATGTTGCATTACTGAAATAAATGAACTTTTGCACGATATTCTCATTTTTCGAGTATCACCTGTATAAGGAAAATAATATTAAAAACAATACACTCACATGAAAAGGAGCCATGTATGGCTCAAGTAGTAAGCACACCCGCTATCTCCTGCACTCCACTACTCATCCTCAGTATGGAGAAACTGAGACTTTGTGGTAACCTTTTGGCAAGCATTCCACTTCGTATTCAGTCATTTATAATTTTTATTGTGTGCTTTGGGAAACGTTATACATGAAGTGTGGTTGCAGCTTTATTGGTAATGGTGTCTGTTAAAATTAGTTAATGTAATTATTGTCAATAATAGCATCGAGGCACGGTTTGATTGTTTTTGTGATTCACATTGTATGTGTTGGCACTACATACAAATGCTAATAATAATAATTCAAATTGCCTTCTTCCACATCAATTCCTCCTGAACAATTGCAATACTATTCTCCATCCCTACAGCCTGCTCCCCCCACACGCTTGTTACACCACATCTTTCAAAGGAATAATTTACTTTAAAGTCTGGATTATCCTCCTACAGGGTAATGAGACCCCAGAGACATCAGCCAGCTCAACAATGGGATTTTTATGGGAATTCCTTGATCCTAGTGCATAGCTTGTTGGTTTTGGAGGATGAAAGGTTGGTGAGTTGGTAATGTTTCATGTCACACTCTGCACAGGCTGCTAAAATGCACAGACAGTAAATGTGTCAAGGTCATTTATGCATTATCATTATCTCTCACTTAGCATTTAAAAAAAAAATAAAAAAATAACCACAAAATAATGTACAAGGAAAGCCATTATCATGATAATTATCCTTTGCGGTAGTAAGATCACTGCTTATTTGTGATTTCTGTGAGAAAAGCAAGTATTATGGCTTGACTGGTGTGCAGATATTTGTTTAACATTGTATTGGCTATACACTGACTTTAGGTGGAAGGGGGTTTTAATCACAATTTTCCCCACCATAACTTTTTGGTTTTTTTGCTTCAAAAGTACTGCCAAGCCTCAATAGAACGTCAGTAACCAACCTCATGCTGATGATTTGCATTAACAATGAAACAGCTGTCCATGAGTGGTTCACTGGCTTTGCATCTTTTCCTAAATTGTGTTTCAAAGCTGTTGTATACAGCAAACACAAACTCAAATGAATCTGTGTTTAAAATGGAAAGAGTAAAAAATTTGATTTTATTAAAGGACACAGAAGCTCATATTATGCTTTATCTCTTTCTTTATTCCTCAGCAGCAAAGAAATGATATATATATATTTAGAGAAAAAAAAAATAGCCTCAGAGGGTTAACCGTATAACATCTTAGACAAAGAGAGCAGTCCACAGTTCATATACTACCATGTGACCCTAAGCCACCTCTCTTTCTTTGCTGTTGCCTCAGCGAAGTATCCGTTAAACAAACTCAGGCTGGAACTGTTGCAAACCCACTGCCGCAGAGACATCCTAGGAATGGCAGAGAGGCTCAGGCACCGAGTGTAGTGGTGTCATGGAGACAGGCTCAGGCACCGAGTTTGTGGAACCACCATTCTCTATGTTAAAGTTGAGCAAGACTGCAGCCAATGACAAAAAAGACAAGGTGAGGCCTGATAGAAAGCAATTGTTGTTGGGGTATTCTATCATAAGAGGTGTGGAGCTGGACAATAGTGGCCTTGTGAGATGTCTTCCTGGAGCTACTGCTCACAGAGACAGGAAACGTATTTGTAATATTGTAAAGCGAGCAAAGCAGGAAGGGGAATTGGATGTACTTGTCCATCTAGGGACAAATTACTTGGCTTGCAATGAGGTTTCAGAGGTAAAGGAAGTTTTTTGTGTTTTTGCCAATGATATACGACAGGTTGCTTCCACATTGTCATTCTCAGAAGTTTTGCCTGTGGATAACACTCAAAACAACAGGCGGATGCGTATTAAGGACTTTAACTTGTGGCTTGGTGAATGGTGTCGGGAGCAAGGATTTGGTTTCATTTCTCATGGTAGCTCTGTTTGAGATTGAAATAACATGTACAAAAAAGATGGTTTGCATCTTTCTCAAAAGGGAACAAATGTTCTCAGTGAGCAGTTCAGAGGTGTTGCTAGGATGTATTTAAACTAGGATGAGGGACAAAAGGGTGATAAAACATGAATCCAATTGCCCCCCAAAACAAGGACAGAAGGTGCCTGTAGCAAGTATGTGAAAAAAAATGATAAGCTTACAGTCATGTCTACAAATGCTCACAGTTTAGGGAATAAGATCCATGAACTTGTGGCAATAATGGCAACTGATAATGTAGATTTAGTGACTGTTACTGAGACATGGTATTGTGACAGACCCATCTGTCTGGATTATAACTGCATGTTCGTCTGTTTTGCCGTTTTCATGAATTTCCCCGTTCGTATGCTTTGTTTAAGGGAATGTCGGTTTTGTCGAACGGAACTACCGAACGGACGGCCACCCAGAAGAGAAGTGTGCTGCTGGTTAACCTATTGATCCCAATTAGAACGTTGCGGTTAACCACAGACACTTCTCAATTAAAAACCGAATGCCGGGTGGTCGTCGTTCGTATGTCGACCACGAGGCGGCGGCCATTTTGTCCATGCGAACGACCAGCGGTGTTCAACGATTATTTCATGGATCGGAAAACGGACACTTTTTCAGCCGAACACCGCTGAAGCCGTCGACCTCCCCTTCTCAATCGACAAAAGCATGCGAATGACAGCCGTTCGGGAGATTCAACCACACGAATGGACTTAACCCAGATAGCCGTCCCATGGAGTCAATCGCATACCGAAGAACTGAAAGAGACTTTGACTCCATGGCGATTGAACTGTGCGAATGGGATCTGAGCGCTATTCTCCAATAATGTGCCCTCAGATCCAGGCTATCTGGGGATATGCAAGACTGATGTAAAATGTTCAGCAGTTATTAAGTTACGGATTTTTGTGTGTTTTTATAACTTGTATCCAAAATGGCGATTGCCTCTGCTCGGGGAGATAATTGAATTACTTCCCAATTATTCCCCGAGCAGAGGGGAGGGAACTGTACTGCATGCTGGGAATATTGTGGGGATGTATGTCCAGAATGTCCCCATGTCCCCCTGTGATTTCAGTCTCCCATTTGGTCCCCTAGGGGAGTGTCCACCAAGTGGGAGACCTGCATAAATACCGGGCAGGTAGCCCACAGTAAACCAGTTCGTGTTTTACCCTCAAAGCGGAGCTTGGTCTCGTTATTGGGGGGATTTGGTTACCGACGCTTAGAGACTGCTGATTGGAAATATTTGCCGCTTGGAAGGTATTAGCGTTCGGCTAATATTGGCAGTTCGTGGATTTGGAGCTCGTGGAGGGAAATAGCCGTACAGGTACCGTTCGGGAGTTTGGAGTGTTCCCCAGCTGGCGGTTCGCATGGTTTTACTATACCCGCTACCAGCCTACATTATTGCGAACGGGGAATACTCACTAAACGGCGGTTTGTACATTTCATTACGGGAGGTACCGTAACAGGTATAATAAGAAAAATGACTGGGACATAGCAATACCAGGGTACACTTTATATAGAAAAGACAGGGAAGGCAAAAAAGGGGAGGGGTGGCCCTGTATGCGAAGGATTGCATTAAATCTAGCCTATTAAAAGTTAGTGAGGCGAACATAGAGTCCGTTTGGGTTACGTTAGAATCTGGTAATCACACAGTAACTCATGTAGGTGTGATTTATAGGCCACCAGGACCAACAGAAGAGCTAGATAATCTTCTAGTTGAGGAAATAGATAAAATGACAATAAAGGGGAAAGTTATCATCATGGGTGAATTTAATCTTCCTGATGTGAATTGGAAAACCAAAATAGCTGCTTGTGCCAGGAACTAAATTCTTTGCCCATGCACATCCCTAATGAACAAAAAACTGACAGGAAGCAGTATAAATATCAATATTGGACTGTGTTTAGAAGAGGGGCTCACCCTCTAATAATGAAGTCAGTATTATGTACTGACATAAACTGTAAGAGAAGCAAAAAAAACTGTCAGGAAGCAGTATAAATATCAGTATAGGGCTATGTTCAGAAGAGGGACTAACCCACTAATAATGAAATCAGTATTATGTAGTGACATAAACTGTAGAGAAACAAAAAATTGACAGGGAATAAAAGGGATAAAGTAGGTACACAGACATCCCAAGTCTATACCCTACAAAACAAAAAAAACAGCGTCCCCACTATCAGACAAAACCCTACATAAATACATATACAGTAAGAAAAGAAATCAATCAATCAAGTAAATAAGTAAAATTAAGTAAATATAACATGACAAGACAACGAAGTGTTGACACACAATATTCTGACCTGACTTGTGATGGAGCAGCAAAGAAAGAGGAAGTGACTAAGTGGAAGGCATATCTTATACTCTCTGCCTGTCTCTGATTGTTTCCTTTTTTTCCTCAATATTGCAAAATATGAAACCTCCTGTCATGTGATAAAATTGCATTAGGCT